AGGTCGACCGCTGGAAAGGAGAAGGGTCGTCTGGAAAATCCTATTTTCTTGTTTTTAGACAAAGCAAGTGGCACGCCTAACATCCAACTCACATGGTAAAGGCCGGCTGAGGATTTTTGAGGAAACAGTAAGCAAGTCAAATAAATAATTTTAAACCCCCTATACATATTATTTTACTTGATACTTACTATTATACTCTCTCCATGCCACTAGTTATCCAGTTTTCTCACAGTTTAGGCGTAGTACTCACCCAAATTGGTAGCATATAGAAATAATAATAATAATAATAAAACTGGTAGCATACTTACAGGAAATAGGTTTCACCTCTACCTGACAAATCCAGTCCAACCCAACGGAAGAACTTGTAAAAGGCTTAGGCCCTGACCAGCCCAAATAAAGAACTTGTAACTGTTCTACAAGAAGTTTGGCGGTTGTTGTTGTTGTGAGAATTGTAACTGTTTGGACAGGAAGCAAAAACACTAATGGCAATGGGTGCTTTAGCTGTATAATTGGCTTTTTCTAGTGTAACTGGCTGAAGGAACAGATTACCTATCTTGTTCTTGTCTACTCTTAATGATGTAGTATCGACGAGCAATGTAATAGGTGCTGAATCACAGAATTGTTTTAGGAAGTTGTCTGAAAGGGGTAACGGTTGTGTTTGATTCACTGAAATGTAATGTGATGTTATAATTTGACTGATTCTTGTAGAATTAATTAGTAGTATTCTTTCATAGAAGAATTGTTCTTGTTTTGTTTACTTTTGCTGTGCTAGATATTGGGTTTAAAATCAACCTAGATGGGTGAGTTTTATTTTTTTTTTTATTGGTTAAAAGGTGAATTTATTTATCCAATAACTGTCTATACACAAGCAAGCAGCAATTTGTTGCTGCTACAAAGAATAAAACGCAGAAACTCTTTAATCTATACTGTCTTTGCACAACAGCTTCAATGCCCCAGTTGATTGCTATGGACACAGATGGGCGAGTTAATGTTGCCTGAAGTTCTTTGGGTGTTGATGAAAAGGGCAGAATTGTATCAGGAGTATATGAAGGAAGTGCCTATCCCAGCACAGCGGGGCTCTGTCACTCCATTTACATCATGGATGGGATTAGGTAGATTGATCAAGCAATTATAAGGCCAACCCTTGCATTAGCTCCACAACATTCTCCTAAAACAGTGGGACCAACTGAGATTTGGAAGTGAGGATAAAGACACCCCTCTGGATATCATCGTTCATCCTTTTAAAGCTGAAGCCACCATCTGGCTGATTGAAGAAACCCATCTGCACACCACATATTCCCATCACATAGCTAAACTCCGGCTGTCAGATCCAATGCATGATGATTTTGTTGATCCCATCTTGCCTGAGTTGTGATGTTTCATGTGTTCACTTCTAACTCTATTTGCTGATTCTGTGTAATGTTTCTTACAACTCAATAGAACCTTGACGCTGCTAAAACCTCATCTTTTCTTTGGGACAACTGAAGGTGCTGGGCCTCTATATTTGGTTGAGTTTTCGATTTGAAGATTCTTTGCCTGACCACGAGCTGGCATTTTAGCATAAGGCAACGAGCAGCTTGTTAGTGCCTTTTTGTGTGTTGTTTCAACTGATCTTTCTTCATGTTGATAAATTGATATCTTATGAAGGTGAAAATGACTTTGTTGTAGGTTAATCGAAGATTTCCTAGCAAGACTCGGCTGCTGGCGGAAGCCAAACGCAAGAAAGTTATCTACACGCTCTAGCTTAAACTCTCTATTCTCCAATGACACCTACAAGAGAAGGGCACTGGGAAGAAGTCGGGGGGAAGTGTGAAATTCTTTTAGAATTCTTGGGGACAATTCTGTTTTCCAAATAAATAAAAATGGAATAAACCATCCTTTCACATGAATTGAATTCTAAATGAAATGAAGAAGATAATTTGACATTTTGTTTGCCTTTAGAACCACGGCCTGTAAGGGAGAGAGTTAAAAGAGTGGAGAAGAAAACATCAAAATGGAAAGATTTTAATCCATTACAAAGGCTCTGCTCTAGGGTTTGTGCAAAAAAGACTTTAATTTTACCAACTCAAGAAATTCATTGTCAATCTTAACACTAGCATTTATGTTTATACGCCGAAGACTCTCCGCTTCCTTTGCTCTTTGCCTGGACCATCAAATTTTCAATCCATTGCCTTGTTTCAACCATGTTCTTTCCACCAAGTTCCTTTACCAGCACTTTAGTATGAGCAAGCCAGCTCTAGTTTCCCACTCTTATAAAACCCACTCACCAGAAGGGCATATATTCCAAGATCAATACTTCAGGTCATTCTTAAACATGTGGTTTAACAGAAAGTTCAGCACCTTCATCCTATTCTTCGTGAAGCACAAATGAAGCAATGGTAAGTGAGATGATCTGCCTTGCATGAATCCTCTTCCATTTTCTGTAGCCATTTCAATGCCTCCTCTTCTCTCGAATGTGCACAAGCAGAAGCAATCATGGCATTATATGCCCATACATTTGCTTTATTTTTTGCTTTTCCATGTCCTCAAATATTTCACGTACATCATGAAGTCTATCTGCCTTGCTCAGGATGGAAATCAATAAACTATAAATGAATTGTCTGGTAAACAACCATCACTCTTTATCTTCTCATAAACCTCCAATGCTTGAGTAATCTCACCTGCCTTACATCGAGCTTTCATAACAAGGGTGTAAGTCCCTATATTTGGCTTGCAACCCTTCTCTTGCATTTCATCCAATACAGCATCAACTTTGCATTTCCCTATTTTTTTGATGTTTTAACACCATGGTTGATGGTTGATTTCAGCCTACGATCCTTTTCACGACGGTTAGCCTCAATAAAGTTGGTATAAGAAGCAACACTGGATTGATACCCATGTTTCTCCATTTCATCCATAATCATCCTGGCATCTTCTAGCTTCTTAGCTTCGCAAAAACCATTTATCAAGATATCGAAACAAATTGAAGTCAAGGTATAAGTTCCTTGAACTCAAAAAACACTTGATAAGCATGATCAACACTGTCTAAGGCATTCCCCTTAACCAAAGCAGCCATTAACACGGCAATTGCCTCTCCATCTCGGCTAACACCGAATTTCTCCCATGTGTCGAAAAGCTGCAATAGCATCACTGTACCTTGTAGCTTTAACTAACCTCCTCACAACCTTACTCATTTTAATCTAATGTAACATACCCCTTAAACTGCTGCATTTCCTTAGCTAAATCCCACATCAAATCAAGCTTCTTTGCCTTTCCTAATATATCAACCATGGTGTTAAAGCACCTCAGGGGGATGCTCATAACCAGTTTTTGATTTTGCCCAGGTCAAAACCCCAAAAGCTGGGATCCAGTCATTATCAAATCTTTACAAAACCTTCTCTATTAAGCTGTTTGACACACTTACCTCGCACCCATTTAGCGCTTCAACAACTGTATCATACGATCAGTACTCTTTCCTGAGGATTTTCACAAACTTGATCGACATCAGAATCACGTTCGCCATTTGGGAAGTGCATACCCTTGCTGGTCTGGCTCTCAATCCAACTAGCAAGTGAAGGGATGACGAAATCTACATCTGGGTCGGTACTCTCCGGCTTCTGGCTATTGATCCAAGTCCGAAAGAGGGATGAGTCGGCGGTAGACGATGAGTTAGCCGAAGGCGATGATTCTGGAATGGTCCATAGGTGGTTGGAGGAGATGTAACGCCTTGCATTGTTGCTTGCAGATCTTTGAGGTCGGAAAGCGGAGATGAGCTTCAAGAATTGGTGATTTCGTATAATTTTTAACCCAAAACCAGAAGAAGATCACGAAAATTTGAGGTTGAATCAAAGACACAGTTACACAGGAACAGAATGCGGGACAAATCTAGCCCAACCCAAAGGAAGAAATGATCGGGACAAGTTGCGCTAGTGCTAAACCCAGCTCAGCCCAAAGAAAAATTTCCTTGCAAAATGGCTTAGGCCCAACCCAAAGGAATGGTTGGCTCGTTTCTCCATTGTTTGTTTCGTTGCCCATTTTATTTTCTACTTCGACTTTTCTTTTCGGATTGATATTATTGTTAGACCCTTAATTGTTAATATTATATTTTTTGATTTATTAAAAATAAAAAATACAAAGCTTTAAAAAATATATAATATAAGGGTATAATAAATAATTGTGTTAAAAAATATGATATTAATTATTTAAGTTGTGATAATGACTCTATCATCACCTTAAATGTGGGATTTAACTTTAAGTTGATATTCGTGTGATTTTGTTCACTTTAGGACTGTGTTTTTCATAACCATGAAGAGAACAATGCCCTGGAGCGATCACTAGTTTATGTTTGACAATTTTTCATTTTGAATTAGGAAATAGCCAAACTAAATTTGTAAAATAGGCCTTCAAATTCTTGGATTGGAGAAAGGACATTCAAGTTTCAAATACACGTATTTAGGCCTTTGAATTACAGATATCAAAATTCACACATTGAAATGCACTCTCATCATGTAAAAATAGACACTTCATTTGAACTTAAACCCTAACCACACACCCTCTTCAAATTCATATCCCCAAACGTATACACAATAACTAAGTGTTGTTGTTGCAACCAAAGGGCTAAATTGACTACATGGTATATAAAGTTGCAAGAACTAGCTAATAAGATGGGCAACTAAAAATCTTCACTAATGACTCAAAATGTCGAAGAATGCCAAATTCAAAAGGTAGTTAATGTTCGATATGAAATAAAGTGGCCTTTTAAGCCAATGAGGATTGATGTAGAGTAGAGACACAATCAATATAAAGAACACTGTATATGCTGGGAAAAAACATGCATGGAAAGCAGGAAGGTCAACTTCATACCATTTCCCTTTAGTTGCATCTAAAGGTAATGATTTCAAATGTGGTGTCTCAGTATAAATGATGCAGCATTTCTCCAATGGCAACCTGGAAGGAAACTGGTTTCCTTCATAGCTGCTTTCCTCGAACGTTGAAAACTGTCCTTTCATTGGAATCTGGTCGGATAAGTTATTGTATGACACGTTGAAGACTTTTAAGAAGTTCACATTGAAGACTTCTCATGCACCCTAAAGTAGTTATTTCAATTTTTATTTCATCTACAAGGACTAATGGCAGTATTGACACTAGAAAGTTGCTGCTCTTGTTGATCAATTGCCCGTTGGGTTGCATGAGAAGTATCTTTTTTGTTTGAGGTAATATATTATCTTCAAACCGTAGGAAGTTGCTTAGAATAATAAGTCTGTCTAGTCCAGTAAGCTTTTCTACCAGCTTGGTAGGCCAAACAATTCAGGTAGCAAATGCCATGAACAACTTGATCACATTTCTCTTATTGTGTAGTATTTGTGATATGCAGTCTAGTTGACATGGATGATGACATAGATTGGAGAAAGGACGTTCAAGTTACAAATACATGTATTTAGGCTTTTGAAATACAAATATCAAAATGCATATATTGAAATGCACACTTGACATATAAAAACAAACCTTTTATTTGAATTTAAACCCCAAATTCAAATACACAACCTCTTTAAATTTAGATTTCCAAACTTATACACAATAACTAGGCATTGTCACAACCAAAGGACTAAACTGACTACATGGTGTATAAAGTTGCAAGAACTAGGTAATAAGATGGACTATTAAAAATCTTCATCAATGACTCAAAATGTCGAAGAATGCCAAATTCAGAAGGTAGTTAATGTTTGATATGAAATAAAGTGGCCTTTCAAGCCAGTGAGGGTTGATGTAGAGAAGGGACACGATCAACAGAAAGAACATTGCATATGCTGGGGAAAAACATGCATAGAAAGCAAGAAGGTCAACTTCATACCATTTCCCTTTAGTTGCATCTGAAGGTAATAATTCCAAATGTGGTGTCTCAGTATTAATGATGCAGCATTTCTCCAATGGTAGCCTGGAAAGAAATTGGTTTCCTGCATAGCTGCTTTCCTCAAACGTTGAAAACTGTCCTTTCATTGGAATCTCACCAGATAAGTTGTTGTATGACACATTGAAGACCTCTAAGAAGTTTAGGTTGGTCAACTCTAAAGGGATATTTCCACTCAAATTGTTGTAGGAAAGGTCCAAGCTTTCAATGTTGGATAGTTTTGACAAAGTAATTGGAATAGGACCCGATAATTGATTATGAGATAAGTTTAAAGCACGAATTTGTGTAAGCTTTCCAAGCTCTTGAGGGATTTCTCCAGTCAGATCGTTGCAGGACATGTCAAGAGCAGACATGAAATTTAGTATACTACCCTTGTAAGAGGTGCCTCTATTTTTATCAACCAAATAGATCTCATTCAATGCTACAACCTCAATATACATGGGAAGGTCCAAATTTTTCTTTATGAAATCTCCATATATGTGATTTTCATCAGTAAACATGTTCCCAAATAGCCATTTGTCTTGTATAAGAGTATCACCATAATTTTCCCTAACCCCAAATGTTAAATTTTGGAAACAAAAGGGTATTGTTCCAGAGAAAGAGTTACTAGAAAGATCCATTATGCTTATATTTTCCAATAAGCACAATGTCTCTGGAATCAAACCCTTTAAATGATTTTTTCCCAACAAAAGAATTTTTAGATTTAGAAACGTACCACTTAGGTCAGGGATGAAGCCAGACAAGTTGTTATCTCTAAGATTCAACACAGAAAGACCACATGAGGAATTGGGAAGAAAATTTTGCAACAATCCTGTGAACTTGTTCCCTTCTAAATGAACCTCATTGATGTTGGTGAAATCAATGCAAGAAGGTAGATGACCAGAAAGAAAATTATGAGAAAAGTCCAAAAAATGTAACCAGTTAGACATAGATTGTTGGCATGGAAATTGGCCTTCAAAAGAGTTATTCCTCAATGAAATTAAGAAACTCACCTGATTAACCCAAGTAGGAATTGGACCCCTAAAGTAGTTATTGCTAACATCTAACATTGTCAATGTCTCAAGCTTCACATTCAACAGGCTTCCAGCGAATCCATTGTCGTTCAATTCTAGATGACGCAAAGAGGTCAAGTTGAATTTAGATGAGAAAAATTGGCCTTTTAATCTATTGTAAGACAACCTCAAATCTTCCAACTTGCTACACCCCATAAGTAATTCAGTAGGGACTTCTCCTGAGAAAAAATTGAAGGCCAAGTTCAACGTGACCAAATCTCTCATATTACCCAGACTACTTGGAAGAGCACCTACAAACTGATTCTGACACAAATTAAGATATTGTAAGCCAAGAAGTTTGTCCCCAAAATCCTTTGGCAACTTTCCAGTAAAATGATTGTTTGAGAGATCCATGCAAACCATATTTCTAATTTCATGTGATGGCAAATAGAGTTGACCAACAAAAGAATTATTCATGAGATTCATAAATTTGAGGTTAGAATTGTTTTGCAGTAGCCAAACAGGGAACTCTTCTTTCAACTTGTTGTGAGAAAGATCAATTGCTCTCAATTTTTGTTGATAAAAGAGAAACTTTGGAATACTGGTCATGCTCAAATCAGAGAGTATCAATTCCTTGCATTGAAACAACATATTAATCCAATTTGGACACTGAGCATCAACTTGTAATCTATCTTTGTAGCCTGTGAGCATGAATACCTCAAGCTTGGAATAATTTCTAATATAGTTGAAGGAGAATAAGCCTTGAAAATTGTTGTGACGAAGATCAATGAATTCAAGGGATAATGGGAGGCTTTGTATCAAATCTGAGGAAAGGTTTTTGGAGAAAAAATTGTTTGAAATATCTAAAAGTTTAAGAGACGTTAGATTGTTTAGACATGGAGGAAGTGTCCCTTCAAAACTGTTTTGGCTCAGATCCAACTCTTGAAGCCTCTTTAATCCACACAGACCTGCCATTAAGAACATAAATTGTTTACTAAGAATCCATAAGGAATTTTGTGTTTCATTAGTTCACCAAATGATCTCTCAATTAATTTCTAATTATTCGAATGAATGCAATTACATTAGTTAGAAATTACCAATGAATTTCCACTTTTTGTTTATTTTCCTAAGCTCATTCAAATTGCCAATGCCCTCAATTTAGAGCAAAAAAGAGGCTCTGATCAGCTTTGTTTAACTGACAAAAAGTATAAGGCATGAGGTCATCTTCTTCAAATTTTTTTTAAAGAAAATGTCTAAAAACTTACATTCTAATTAATATTTTCAAAAATCAATTGTTAGATTAAAAATTTTATTTATATAAATTATGCATGTCAATTTTCATTATGATCTAACACTAACCCTTTGATAAAAAAACTCTATTTATTGACATATATTTAATAATATTAAATTTTATGTAATCAGTAGAGTGATAAGTCTACTAGAACAATGTAAAAATTGGCATGCATGATTTATATGAATATAACTTTTAATTTCGCAGTTAATTTTTTAAAATATTAAATAAAAATATATTTTTAAATATATTATTTATTTAAAAAACAGCCTGCAAGATTCTTTTCTCTCCTTAGGCCTTTCGGGCTTTTATGGCCTTGCAATTCTTTCGGCTTTCAAAGGCCTATGAAATATATCTTGAGTTGTGAGTTCAGTTAAATTGGGCCAGACATAAGTTAGAATTTAGGACCTACATATATTGGATTTTAACAATTAAAAATTCCATTGTAGCAGACCTAAAGATTGTGTCCCTTCTTTATTTATTCTATTTTTAAGGCACAACATAAAGCATTCAAAACAAAGGTTAAGGTAGCATATTGTGTTGGACTTAGTCTTCATCATGTGATTTCATGTGCAAGAAGGAAAAAGAATAAATTAATCTTTTACGCACCGGGATTTGGCAATGAGTCGTTAAACTGATTAGAAGATAGAGACAATGCCTTTAAAGAATGAAGTGTCACAATGGATAGAGGAATGGCCCCACTAAATTGATTCGAACTCAAATATAATATCTCCAATCTTGTAAAACCTAGCAATGGATGAACAAGAATAGTACGTAATGTCAATCTTGATTTTCAAAGGAGCAAAGTCGTTAAATTTTTAAATATATTATCCAAAAAAAAAATTTAAAACTATGAACATAATACTTTTCTCATTAGGCATTTGGGCTTTTACTGCCCTGCTTTTTTTCAGCTTCCAAAGGCCCATGAAATCTATCTTGAGTAGTGAGTTCAGTTGAATTAGGTCAGCCATGGGTTAGAAATTAGGATCTACATACATTGGATTTTAACAATTAACAATTCCATTTTGGCAAACCTAAAGAATGTGTCCCTTCTTTATTTAACCCTTTTTTAAGGCGCAGTGTAAAGCCTTTAGAACGTAGATTAAGGTAGCATCTCATGTTGAACTTAGTCTTGATCATGCCACTTCATGTGCAAGAAGGAAAAAGAATAAATAAATCTCTTACGTACCAAGATTTGGTAATGAGCCATTGAGTTGATTATCAGATAGAAACAATGCCTTTAGAGAATGAAGTGCCTCAATAGATGGAGGAATGGCCCCGCTAAATTGATTACCACTCAAATCTAGTATCTCCAATCTTGTAAATCCTATCAATAGATGAACAAGAATAGTACATAGTGTCAATCTTGATTTTCAAAGGAGCAAAGTTAAATTTTTAAATATATTATCTAAAAAAAATTTTAAAAAACAATGTACAAAACACTTTTCTCATTAGACATTTGGGTTTTTACTACCCTACTATTTTTTTGGCTTTCAAAGGCCCTTGAAATATGTCTTGAGTAGTGAGTTCAATTAAATTGGGCCAGACAGACATGGGTTAGAATTTAGGACCCACATATATAAGATTTTAACAATTAACAAATCAATTTCAGTAGACCTAAAGAATTTGTCTCTTCTTTATTTATTCTATTTTTAAGGCACAGCATAAAGTATTCAAAACAAAGGTTAAGGTACCATAACGTGTTGGACATGGTCTTCATCATGCCATTTCATGTGTAAGAAGGAAAAAGAATAAATTAATCTCTTACGTACCGAGATTTGGTAATGAGCCGTTAAACCAATTAGAAGATAGAAACAATGCCCTTAGAGAATGAAGTGCCCCAATAGATGAAGGAATGGTCCCTCTAAATAGATTCGAGCTCAAATCTAATATCTTCAGTTTTGTAAAACCTATCAATAGATGAACAAGGATAATAGGTAGTGTCAGCGGGATTTTCACAGGAGCAGAGTAGTTAAATTGAACTTTGGGATTGGAATGGAGTAGTTCATCATTTAATACCTTGAACTGGCAAGTTTCCACTGAGGCTATTCCTACTCAAAATAAGCCCCTCTACATTGCTCAGGTTGCCCAATTCTTGTACATTTTAACCATATGGTATATGGAATTAGTGATTAAAAGGAAGAGACATCAGTTGTTAACTATAAAAATTAAACGGAGAAAGAATCGATTATGGTGTATGAGAGCATTAATACGCTAAGTTTGGTTCGTTAAAAAGATAATGGGAGAATGATAAAGAGGAGAAAAAACATTAAAATATATAGTAGAAGAGGGTGTTCAGGAAGAATTAAAAGTATTTATTTTAAAAGTAAATTTTTCTCTTATAAATTTAAA